CGATCATAATATGTCATAATGCATAGAATAGAAGCCGAGTGGTACTTATCATCACCTCTAATGTCTTATCCTTCATCGTAGACAGAATTAAATCTAACATTCTTTCTTATACAAAAGAATATTCAATCGATTAGTTCTTTGTTTAGATCAAATCATAATTGGACATTGGTCTATCGAGGAAATCAGACATTCTATCAATTAATATCAAAATTTATCGAAAAAAGTAATTTAACTTATCGACTTTATGTCGGTAATAGATATGGACGACAAGAAAATAATTATACTGAAATTACGATCAATATTGACCGTTAGTATATTCATATTAAATTGATTTATTTAAAAAAAACCGCTATTCATCTTATTTTAGCTATTCATCATACATATTCAAATAATCAAATTGTTATTTTTACAATTTTAATTTCAATTTTACTTCTTATTCTTTTTGGTTTTCTATTTTTTGGATGTTATTGTAAGTTTAATATAAAAAAAAACTATTTTAGTTTATTCTTTTCTTTTATTTTAGTACGAAATAAAAAGCTCTATGGCAAATTAAAACAAAAATATTATCAAAATGGCGATATGTCTGATAAAGAATTAGAACATTTAAGATCATTAACATATCCTAATAAATTAAAAGATAATATACTTTATACATGGAAGTAAATTAATCATTCCTATAAAATTCTTATATTTATATTTCTAATATATTTTAGTCATACACCAACTAATGTTGATTTAAATAAATTACCTAAAATCGAACGAGCTTTAATTAAACTTGATCGTTTAATTGGCAAAGGAGCATTTGGTTTGTTATTTTTTCATTAAAAATTATCTTAGAACGTTGATCTTTCATTTCTAGGTGAAGTTTATGCTGGTACAATGATGAATAATAAATTAGTAGCTATAAAAGTAAAATATCTTTTTTTAAATTTTTTTCTTAAAAATGAATATTTTTTTTCAAGACATTATTAAGTACAGCATCATCATCACAACGTGTTGATTTTCTTAAAGAAGCTATAATTATGAATCAATTCAATCATAAACATATTATACATTTATTAGGTGTTTGTTTTCTTGATGATTATCAACCACAATTTCTCGTTCTTGAATTAATGGAACAAGGTGATTTACAAAATTATTTAAGACGTTCAAGACCAACGAAAGATAATAATAATCAATGTCAATTATCCTATGAAGATTGTCTTGATATTGCAAAACAAATAGCTGATGGTGCTTGTTATCTTGAACAATATTCATATGTTCATAGGTTTGTAATTATGTTTTTTTTCGTTTTAATATAAAATTCTTCCTGTTTTTTTTTGTATTATAGAGATTTAGCTGCACGAAATTGTCTTGTATCATCATTGGGAACAACAGATGAGAAAATAATTGTTAAAATCGGAGATTTTGGTTTAGCAAGAATGTTAACCCAACAAGATTATTATAGAAAAAGTGGTGAAGCACTTTTACCTGTACGATGGATGGCACCAGAATCATTACTTGATGCATTATTTACTTCACATTCAGATATTTGGTAAGTTTAGATTGAATGTAAATAAAAATAAAATAAAATCTTTAAATATTAGGTCTTTTGGAATTGTTTTGTGGGAAATTATAACACTTGGTCAAGTGCCATATTCACCAATGAATAATCAACAAGTTATTACATTAATTACATCAACACGAGGAACCTTACAAAAACCAGTACAATGTACACAAACTTTGTATGTATTTAGATGATAGAAAACTGTATATAACAAATACTTTACAATAGACTGACATGATTGACAAAAGTCAGTGTAGTTTTTTAATAAATAACATGGTTGCATTCGTTCTAAGAAAAAACTACGAGTTAGAGTTCTTCATCTATTACATAATAAATAAAAATGTATTTAAGTAATAGTTCACAGATGAAAAGACCTTAAGGAAGATTTATTAGTTTATGTAATCTTAAATTTTGTAAAGTTATTTCTTAAAAATATAGAATTGACAAGAAAAATTGTATTTGACTGATAATAAATTTTATTACATTATCAAATTTCTTCATAAGAATAATCAACAAATCGAACTACAATATCTTATTACATTTCTTCAATTCTTAATGCGTAAACCACTATAAATCATTGTGTTGAAATTTGAGAATACATACGTCATGAATTGAGATAATTGAATTTTGATAAATTCTTATATAAACTATAAGACCTTGCCACTGTACATAAACGTAACTTAATAGAAAGAAAAAAAAATATCGATCGTACTATTAATACCGCTCTAGTACATAGTATTAGTTACAGAATCAATCGAAAATGTATTTACATTATTTTGTTTTTTTTCTACTAAATTTACATAATTCTTCGATATAAGCTATAGATTCCTTCATTTGATCAGCGAAAAAAATAGCATGTGTGTTAAGGACATCTGATGGATATTCGACAAAAAAAAGTTTTATAAAAAATATTCTATGAGATTGTTTTGTATGTAATAAGTTTCATATTGTACATATGTACGCAGTCAATCATCACATTTATGACAAGACTAATGGTATTAGTAATACCCAACTATTCTCTATATTAATATTTCGTTTTATAATTAATTTTTCTCGAAATATTTTTTTCTAATTTGAAATTTTGTTCATAGATATGAATTAATGATCTTATGTTGGCATTATATACCTGAAAATCGTATCAATTTTCGTGATATTCATTCACGTTTGAATGAATTATTATTGGATAATAATAAAGAACAACCAACCATATGGTTTTCTAATGAAACAACATCAGAAACGGTAACTAAACAAATCTTTATTTTATACTAATTGACATTTATTATTGTTTAGGCACGTGGCATTCTTGATTGTGTATTAAATCATATTGAACCACCAACATCATTATCATACGAAGGTTCCGATGCTGGTGAATGTCGTTCATCAACATCAGGTTGTTTTTCATCAATGACTGAAAGTAATTCTCAGATACATCATCATCAACATCATCATCATCATCATCATCATCCAAATCAAAATACTTCATCCTATCAACTACGTTTAATTGATGATACAACAAGTAATGATTATGCTGATGAAGATGATAATGATAATCACAGTGACATTATTGTACGTTCTTTGTAATCAATGAATAAATAAATGAATATGATTTTCTTTTTTTGTCTGTCATGTCATAGATTTCTTTTTCTTTTTCTCATTTTTGTTTGTTTGTTTGTTTGTTTTTTGGATATTTCAGTTGTAACTTAGTTTTTTTTTCTTACTTATTATGAATCTCATATGATCAATGAATAAAATGACATCTAAATTTTGACATGATCAATGTATATTAGAAATTCAAGATTTTTGTTCTTTGACTGAATAGAGACTATTCTCTATGTAAAGTAATATCTTGAATGGTCAAGGAAATATTTTATATGCAAGATTTTTCTTATTAAGAAAATGAGAAGCTTATGTGTATGTTGTAAATCATTCTCTTTCTCGTCTTTATTGATCCGAGAAATCTCATCTATCTTTTCTGTCACTGGATGCATAGTCATCAATTGAAAGAAACAATTGCTGAAATTATTATGTCATACAGATGGGAATATCTTATTTTCGAGAAAGAAGAAGGAAAATGACGTAACCTTATAAGATTAGACAAAAGGAAATGGGGACGAGAATAGCACACTAAGTCATTTTGTACTTAGAATAGAAAAGTCATTCTGAGCTGACAACTATTTTTTTTATGGATAGATATACAACTGATTAAAACATGCATCATTATTAAAATGTGCCGACGTCGATGAAAGCATGTTGAACATGTAATAGTGAGATTTTTTGTCTTCGTCATGTTTGTTCTACTGAGAGAAGCTCGTGATACCATTAATAATTCACAAACTTAAATTCTTTATACAATTATGTACGTAATCGTTGCTTGCTTAGATTTATTCATGCTATTCAGAATAATTTAATCCTTTTGAAACTATATAAAGAATAATTTATAGCTCAAACAAGAGGTTTATTCACAATGAAAAAAAAAGAAGAAGTAAACTAATGGATTTATTTCAATAAGATTCTTCTTATATTTAACAGAATCCTACTTAAACTAATCAGATTTAACTTTAGACTGAACTGTCTAAATAAATATATGTAACTAAACATCGCTATATAACATCTCTATTCTCGCGTTTCTTGTTATTCTTTTATCGTCTTCTCTCGTGCTTTTTCTCAATGTGTTCTTTATACACCGATAACAGACATACATATAAGCTAAAGGCAGACGCAGCTATAGTACAAAGCAATAGTAGAAAGAACAGTTCCCCTTCATTTTTTTTTTTCTTTTTTTTCCTCTCTCTCTATATATACCAACGTCGTTTTTTTTCTCTATACTGAAAAATGATGCATCAGAACGATAGTAAACTGTAATAATCAATAACATCGTAGCTGTATATATATATATATGTATGTGTATGTTTGTTGTTCTATTTGGTAGTAGACAATACGTATACAATTAATCATCACATTTTTTTGAAAAAATGATGAGTAAGATAAGTTTCTTTTTTTTGATATTTTAGTTTGAAAGGCGAAATTAATATTTATTCATCTATCGACAAAATTTTATGTATAAGTGTCACTTGACACAAAAACCGAACAAAAAGTGCTTTTTTTCTTCTCCTTTTTTGCATCGACATTATACAAATATTAGCAAGAATTTAATAGTAAATATGATCATGACATAAACACAATCTTGTTGAATCTATTTTAGATGATTTTTTTGATAAGAAATTGATTGTAATTGGTAAAAAAAACATACCAAAATTATGGTCGATCTTCTATATTTAATAACACTCGTACCGACCGTACTTCTATCATCATTACGCTCGGATGATGATGGATATGATATGATAAATTATAAATATACAGTGGCTCTACTAGTACTATTTTCGACGATAACGGCGTCGAAACAGTTTGATGATGATCGAATTGAATGTTGGAATCGAGCAAATTTTATTAAACCTTATGTTGAATATACAAATCAAATATGTTATATATCATCAACTTATTATATTGATAGAAATCAAACAATACCACACATTCTTGAAGATCGGTAAGAAATTTAAAATAGATATTTTATTATACTAAAAGAAAAACCGTCAGATTTATTGATTGTTTTATACTAGATTCTGTTGTGACAGAAATTACTTAATCGATGTATGTAATTCTCGTCTGTAATAGTAGACGTGTACGTGATATTTATGACACTTAAAAAGGAGAATGGTATAGTTTCTGTAATAGAAGTAACCTATACGGTCTATGAAAGGAATATTTTTTGTATAGTTATGGAATATAATGATTCATACTTTATTAAAGAAAATATTACGTTATCAGCTGTGCACTCTTGTATATATATTTTCTAATTACCAGAAGAAGAAAATGACTTTTATATTAAACAGACATATTTGTTACATCAGAAGAAATTTTATTCGCTGTTCTATATGTTAAATATTACTATTGCTTCTTTTGAATTACAAAAATGTGATTCTCTAGTAATTAGCGGATACCAATAGTAATGTGCAGTAAAAATAATTACAGCTATTCATATATACTAAACATAGTGTCACTTAAAGGATTGAATTTATAAACATATATTTTATTCATAGACAAAAAAAAATGTTTCTCTAGTAGTCAAATGACGATGAGATTGAAAACGAAAAATTTCAATGTCTCTAAATTGTCATAAAAAGAAAGAGTCATATGTAGTTGTATGTAATTAAATAAAAAAATTATAAAATAAAAGAAAGAAAACATCGTTCTCTGTTACTGTTTTGATTTGGAATATATTTCATAGCTACACCCGTGGGTTCAACTTGATCATATGCTAACCATATGGGATTTGAATGGCTAATATATACTAATAACAAGTTATGATTTATAAATATACCGTAGAGAATTTTTATACAAAAACGTTGATGGTAAGTTTTAGGGTAATAATAAATAAATTTTTTAACGAATACTTTTATATGCTTACGAAAATAATTAGTGCGTATTGTACTTCTAAGAGAATATATCATTAGAAAGAATTCATTTGTAAATAAATATAATATTTGGTATTAATAATTAGACTAAGAACGAAATGAATTGCAATCAATGACTATTCATAATAATTATAATATTACTATTCGACTTGCGTAATAGAAGCATATAAATCATATGGCGGAATAGATAATTTACTTATTGTCCGATCTCCAATTATCTATTTCGTACGTGTATATGAATTCGAGTGAAAAATATCTGACTTATTATTCTTTCATCAATCTATGTAACACTAAGAAAGAATTGTTCACGGTTCTATTGAATATAACTATTGACAGATGATCATTCATTATAAAATTCAAATTTTATTTGTTCTAGTAAACTCTATCTATCATAGAAAAAAGTTCGTAGTTGTTGTCTATTACAAAGAAGATCAAGTGTTTTGACTATTATATCTATAGAGATCATCCTATTAGAAAAAACAGATACCATCTGGGAAAATATAAGTTATAGAAAAACGAAAGACTATTCCACAAGTATACGCATTACTCTTCACTTGTTTTTTCTGTTTCTTACATGTATGTGTGCGATAAGTTCCCTCAATTTATTCATATTAGTCTAGTTGCTTTCTTGACATTTAACACAAAGCATCACTTATACTTGAAGAAAATCTCAGTAAATAAAATTTAGGTTAGAATCATTATCATAGATAGGAGAAATGAGTATTTAGTATAATAACACATGACAATTACTTTGATGCTCACTAGTCTAGCAGTTACGGAATATTATAATTAATGATACTTAGAATAACACCTTTTCAAGAACACTTGTTAGAATTCTCATAAACATACCTATGTGTGAAGAGAATATTTCGACTCATAATGACATTTCTCTGCTAAGATGATATCTATAGTTCTCTAAGATTCACAAGATATACGATATTTCAGCCTTAAAACTCTTTTACTGATAAGTTGATTAATCATTTGTTAAATTTCTCATGTTTAAAAACTAATCTTTTTCTCTGTAATTTAAAGCTTAAGTAATTCGAACTTATCTTTCTGTAAGAAAAAAAGAGTCTCTTCTAACTTATAGTGATAAAAATAAATTTTCATATGACACCATCCTGACAGTAATAATAAAAATATTTGAAGAAGCAAATCGTTGCTACTAGAATAGTTTGTTTTTCCTATTAATGAAAAAATAAATAAATAAATAAATAAATGCAAATAGCTTACTGGAATTAATAGCAATGCATACAGAATATAGAATAGTGTACAATATGATAAGAAATATATTCTATTTGACAGATCACTAATAGCTTATTTTATATAAATAGATCTCATGAGAAAATTCTAGTCATCATTTATTTGAGTTCTCATATATATCTATCTATCTCTTTCTCTCTCTCTATATATATAGATCTATTAAAATTTCTATAAAACCAACCAACCATTCGCAAATCTAATATAAAATTTTTAAGTTTGCTTTGTCTATATGAACTTGCAACATTTATCTAGTGTGTTTATCATGAGTGCAGAAATTTTTTTTCAGACATGTCTATCTGGAAATATTATGTGTTCTTGTTAGTATTAAACTATTTTATGTAAATTGTCCTTGAGTTGTATGTTACCGGGCTTTTTTTTCTCCTTTTTTTCTTCTCTTTGACTTCTCAGTGTAGTCCCAATTGATCAATTCTTCGCCATGTTAGACTCACACATCAACATCATCATTCGATAAAAAATATATAAATATAAAAGTAACAGAGTAGTAAAGAATTCCCCATCTGGTGCTTTTGCTTATATTACTTATTTGTTGTTTAATTCGGAGTATTACTTTCTTTTTTTCCTCTATCATCATAAGTCAAATTCGAGATTAGAAAAATGGATCATCATCTGTATATGTCAACATTTTTTATTACAATTTTATTTAATACTCAAGCATCGGATGATGATGATATTGATCGTCTTAATAGAAAATATACTGTTTATCTACTTATTGCACTTGCTGTTATATCAGCTTCACGTTTATTTATGAATATAACATCATTAATATCTTGCTGGAATCGAGCTAATTTTCATTCAGCATATATTAAGTATACGAACTATATTTGTTTTATTACGAATACATATCAATTAGATACGAATGAACAAATACCAAATTCAATAAATGAAAGGTTATTTTAATTTTTATTAAAATAATAAATTCTAATTGAAAAGAAAGAATTTGACTAGATTTATCTTCGTTTATATTTTATAGGAAAGCTCGTGTGTTGAATTATTATCAATGGACACCATTTATTATTTTATTGATGGCATTATTTTTTTATCTTCCACGTTTATTTTGGCGTACATTAAGTGTTCGTTCAGGTATTGATCTTCTTGATATAATTGATGCAGCTGGTGAAACTAAAACAGTAAAAGATTTTGATGATCGTGATCAATTAATAAAATATATGGTTGATACAATTGATATGTATGTTGATGATGCACGTCGACATAGCGATGCAGAAAAACGACAAAGATCATTAATACAAAAATTTTTTCAATTACTTTGTTGTATGACTGGAAAATTTTTAGGAAATTATTTTATTACACTTTATATATTTATTAAGTATGTTAAATATTTATTTATTTATTTATTTATATAATCTTTCTATTTATTATTAGAATTTGTTATATATTCAATGTTATATTCCAAATTTGGTTACTTAGTGTTTTCCTTGGTACAAATTTTTTAAGATTTGGTTATGAAAGTGTGAAATTATTTCGACATGGTCTCAATCAACCGGAATCAAAATATTTTCCAAGAGAAACATTCTGTGATTTTTTTTGTACGTGAACCATTACGTGGTGGAGAACCAATGCAAAGAATTACTGTTCAATGTGTATTAACTGTTAATCTTTTCAATCAGGTATAGAATAACAAGATCAAATAGTTATTTTATTAGAAATAGTCTTATAGCTTTCAGAAGATTGAAAATCATACATTTGAATGATTATCATGATAATTGAAATATAAGTAATTGTGAGTAGTTAAATTATACTGAGGTATTAAATATCAAGTTCTCTACTATTACTGTAGTGTATTTTCTTAAAGGAAAATTTTTATTGATAATCCTCCTAATTACTATCAAACTATATAATCATATTATTTTGTATGCAAGTAGGGGTAGTGACTTAGCATTGCATTATTTAAGACTTAATTCTAATATTTTTGTAGAGTAGTTAGTCTAACACTTAATACTCTTGGTATTAGTATTAGACTAACACTTAGTACTGTCACATTAGAATTAATTTAACATTAGCGGTAATGCTAACAGTTTTGGTTCCTAGAAACAGAACAAAAACGTTCTTTTTTTTGGGAAGATGATTCTCAGAACAGTAAAGAAGTGTTCTGTTTTGAAAATGCTGTTGCTAAATTAATTCTAAAACGAAAGCATTAAGTGTTAGTCTAATACTGATACCAAGAGTATTAAGTATGTGACTAATTTTAATACAAAAGTATCAGCATTTTCTTAACTCTAATGCTAATGCACCGTCCCTATATGCAAACATAAAATTAATCATGAAATTGTAACTAAAGTTATTTATAGCATATGATTTGCCTCATTCAATATTCGCATAAACTTTGAAATATATTTCTTAAAAATCTTCGTTTAAGAATAAAACAGAAGATTGTTTATTAAAGATGAATAAAATCAGTCACGTTACTTTATTTTATTTGAATTCTGATATTTTCAAATAGATCATGTTAAGTACTAATTATATATTTATACAACGTTAGAATAAAGTAGATTTTCATTTACTCTAAATTTAAGTGTATAATGTTTGTGTTAGGGGTGATGGCTTAGCATTAATATGAAAATAATGCACAGGTTTATTATTGTAAAGGAAACATTTAATGTCGATTTATACGTTAAATTGTCTTTTAATTCCAAGAATTCAGCATTAATTAACTTTCGTTGAGGAATAAATCAATGCATTATTTTCAGTTTTAATGCCAAGCCACCACCTCTAGTTTGTGTTTTTATTTCATAAGGCAATGTTAGGAGAAAAAGTTTTCTTATTTATTCTATTGCATACATTAGCTACAGGTCACATGATAAATCTTATATTCATTTCTAATCTGAGGAATATCATGCGTCTTATTTCTAAGATATTTCTGCATAAATACTTACTTCTGATGATTTCGAAAATTCTCATCAAAATTTATTATTTAAGTTTCAATAGAATCTTCGATAACCCTATATCTTGAAATTGTATCCTTTTATATACAGAATACATGTTATTTTTGTTTTTGTTTTCTTATTTTAGCAAATATTTACATTATTATGGATTTGGTATGTTTTTGTATTAATATGCAATGTATATGCATTAGTTTCGTGGTCTATACGTCTTGGTTCGTCTAGTCGACAATATGAATTTATACATACTCGTCTTGCACGTACATCTCGACCCGAAATTCCTCGTTTTCGTTTTGATTTTAAACATGCTACACGCGAAATTGGAGATCATGTACATAAAGCACTTGTTAAACAATTTTTAACAGAATATTTAGAAGGTGATGGTTATTTTTTTATACGTTTATTAGCAGCAAATGCATCTGATTTTATTGTTCAAGAAGTTTTAGAACAATTATGGACAGTTTATGTAATGAAATATGGTGAAATTGATGCTACACGTGCTGAAGATGAATTTTATCAATTTCGAATAAAACCATCGAATGCACAACCATTTGATGCAACAACTTCACGTTCATTCGCAGCTGTTGATACAACTGATTCAACAGTAGATTTAAAACGAAAACCAAAAAAACAAAATTCTGATGTAGGCGTTGGACTATTATCAGCAACGAATAGATTTGAGCCAGTTTAATATGAACGAAATGCACACGTTTAATAGTTATTTTATTTTGAATGTCTTTTTTATAATGAAGAATAATGTATAATATAAAGAATAGAAAGTTGATTTATAGAAATGAATAAATTTTTTTATAACGAGAAAGTTTTTGTTGAAAATTAATTTCTACGGTCAAATTCGGAAGAGAAGGATAATAAACCAAACTGTCCACGCACAATTAAAAATAATGGTTGCATCTATATTCAGATATATTAATATACTTTTTCATATATCGTTTGCATTTGCTAGTTTTCAGTAAGGACAATGATAATATTTTATAATAGTCTTTATCTTTTTTTTGTTATATTACTCTGTCAATAGTAAAAGAAATGCAAACAGTCATTCCTCTTGCGAAGACTCAGTCTATTACCTTTTTTGGTCAAAATACAGCAAACCATGATACATCCTACACGTTTTAAACTTTAGATGAGTCCTTTAAAAAGAATTGCGTGGAAATGACGAAGTTCATGATATACTACTGGAGTGTGGAACTAGAGAGCAGATTTACTGTTTTATTCAAAGTAACTTTCTTGATAGCTATAGTGTTTCTTTACCAAGAGAGTGCGTGAAAGTACATCTTATAGTTTCTTATAAGATAATTCTATTCAAATTTATATAAAATATATTTTGATTAACTTGAGAAAGTGAACTAAAATATGAATTTTTTGATATCATATCTTTTGATAAAGATGTCGCTGGTATTTTAAATAAAAGAGAGTGGGTGTGGTTTAATGATGACTCATCATGTTTAGCACACACATGTTTTGTTTTGTTCTACACTACTTATCTATCCTATGATTCGTTTCATACTTGTTTCATTTGTTTGTTGACCGATTTCTTTACTTATCTGCATTCTTGTCAATGATTTATAGATCAGGTATGTTAAATAGATTCTTAATTTTCATATATTAAATGACAAACTAAATATGCATTGTTTTTTTATTCAAGATGTTTATTTTCACAGTACAATTATTGTTATTTTAAATGTCATGAATGTTATTTTTCAATGTGGTGTAAAGTCGGTTGTGTATGTTTCTATTGTTTTAAAGAAATATTTTAATTTTCTATTAATACATGATTATTTAGATGAGTGAACGAGACGATTTTGCCGAATTAGTCGGTAAGAATAATAAAAAAAGCATTTATTTATTTTTTTATGTATAATTAATGATGCCTTTAGGCAATGCTCGCAATGTAACTAAATGTTCATCGTTTTATTTTAATGGTCGTATTCGCTATGGAACCAAAGGTGAAAAAGTTGAAGAAAGACTTCTGGTAAACAAAAAAACTAAAAGATAAACTGCATAATTCTATTATATATATTTAGTGTATGGATGCCGTTCGAGTTTACATCGGTTCAATTAAAACTCCTGTTAAAGTATAATTTCGATTGATGTATATTTTTTTATGTATTGTTATTCATTTAGATTGAATCACAATTTAATATTCTTTCAATTAAATTAATCGATTGTATATCTGATTCTCATGTAAGATTTGATCAATTTTTGGGAAAAATAAATTTTATTCTTATAATTTTAGATTTTAATCGAAACAGATGAAAAACAAACTCATACTTTATATGGTCTTCATGATAAATCATCATTACAACCATTTCTTATTGTACTTATTCGAAATTTACATGCGATTTTTCCTCATAAACTACAAGCAATGTAAATATTTATTAACAAAATATTGATATTATAAAAAAAAGAATTATTTTGTTTTTAGTGTGGAAATTCGACCTGAGAATGAATATGAGAAATTATTACGTTTATCAAATGAATATTGTCAAGATATAAATATAATGTCTAGTGAATTACGTCCTTGTGGAGGTTTTTCTTTACGTTATGAATGTGCTTGTGATTTTTATCAGACACCATGCAATAAAGCAGTGTATAATGTAAGTTTTAAACAAATATTTCTTTCCTAATTTGAATATCTCGTCTATATTTAGCTTGTTGATACAGTATTTGCACATCGAATATCACATGAATTTACATTTCGAGAATTTGAATCACTCTCTCAAAAAGACTGGTTACCTATTATTTGTGCTTTACGTTATAATGATTGGTTTACAAAAATAACAATCGAAAATACAAAACTAGTTAGTTGAACAAAAGAAAATAATTTATATGTTTATATATTTTTTTAGACATCCGAAAATATTGATGAACTTTGTACAGTCATTCGTTTATCTAAAACAATACGAGATTTACGTTTAGTCAATTGTGGTCTTAGACAGTATGAACCTTCATTGAATTTTATGAAAAAGAATATACGTTTGAATATTTTAGTGATTTTTGTACCCGTTTTACTCACGCATTATCTATTAGTCATATCGAAACTATTGATTTATCGCATAATACACTTGAAGATAAAGGTAAATATTATTATCTTATAAAATATAATAAAATTTATTATTTAATTTTAAGGTTTAATCGCATTAAGTTCATCATTGCAACAATGTAAATCACCAATTACATCTATAAATTTACAATCATGTTCACTAACACATAAAAGTTTACATGTATTTAATGCAGCATTAATAAATAATACTAATTTATTAAAAAATCTTAAGTGTCTTAATCTATCAGGAAATCGTATAAAAGAAGAAAATGTATGTGAAAGAATAAAACAAAATCGAAAATTAAAGTAAAATTTTTTCATTTTTCTAGTGTATAACAATTTTATTTCAAAATAATGAAAATATATTAGAAGAATTACATTTAAGTGATATTGAATTTAGTCTTGAATCGGTAAAAAAACGAATATAGATTTGTATATAATTACGTTTCTGTTCTTTCCTTAAGTTTTTCCATTCGTTAGCAACAACATCATGTAAACTTCGTCGATTATTTATAACATCGATTAAATCTTTAATTTTACCAACAACAACTGGTGGTGTAAGATTATTTTTTACTAATAATCAAACATTAGAAATTCTCCAAATATCAAATGCAAATTTATCGATTGATTTTCTTAAGTAAAAATATAGAATAAATTGAGATGAGATTTTTTTAAAATATTTATTTCGATTTAATAGAGAATTATGTGATGGACTTCATTCAAATGTTTTTCTAAATAAACTTGATTTACGTCTTTCGGGTAATCCACTTGAAACATTTATTCATGAATATGCACCAAGATTTGCAACAATTCCAAGTTTAACATCATTGGATATTAGTGGATGCGGTAAGAAAAAGATTTTTAATTAACAAAATTCAGCAAGTATTTCATATGGACTAAATTTAGATTTGTTTTATTTAATCAATAATAGCTTTAAGATGGTCAAGTGAAGTGTGCTTCGGAATTTGGAGTTTACGGATATCTAAGTTTTCGCGAGAAACTCTAATCATCTGTTTTTGATGGCTCTAATAGATACTCTGAACCGTACTCAGTCGATTGATAATGCTCAAGAAAATTAAGCGTATAGTTATAAGTTGTCGTAAATTTGACCCTTTAAGAATTACTTAAATGTATCAATATTAAATAGTTTCTCGTAGACATTTTTTTAAACTCACGAACTACTATATAATTTATACATCTTTCAGTATAATGAAATTAACAAAAGTACTTTAACTTAAAAATTATTTCTTATTTATTTAGATGTGGACAACGAAATTTCATTTCTATTAGGCGAATTAAAGAAAAATCGAAAATTGAAATCACTTTATCTTGGAAGAAATTTTTATAATATAAAACACAAGTAAATTATTATAATTCATATATATATATTTATCTGATTAATTATTATCTTTATAGGAATATGCAGCGAACAATTAGTGCAATGAAAGATCTTGTCTTAGACAGTGTATGAAAAATAATAAAATATTTATTTAATCATGAATGTTTTCTTTTTAAGGATCTTGAATGTTTATCAATAGCGGACTCAAAATTGAAAGAAAATACAATAGATTTTCTTCTAGCTTTAACAAATAATGCATCGCTTAAAATACTTGATATTCGGTATGAATAAATTACACATAAAAATTACAATATTATTTATTTATTGTATTATTAATAGAGGAAATTTAATGGGTGATACAGGTGCTCGTGTAATAACACATATATTACAAATGAATTCTCATTTACATACAATATATTTCGATCGAAATCTTCTTTCTTTAAACAGTTTCGAAGATATTGTTAATGCAATGGAAGAGTAAGTTTATTTATATTCAAAATTGCGTGATGAAAATATTACATGAGAAAGTTAATGTAGGGAATTTGAAAAAGATCAAAGGATTTATTTTTAATGAATATTAGAATGACTTATGAGTGTGTGTATGAGAATAGTTCTTATATAATATTGTTTATACCATATAAATTTAATAACAAGATCGATTTATCGAATGTTAAAGATGAATAAATTCTTCTCTAGTCATGCAACAATAGACAGAGTAAACGGATCAAAGATTCGAAGTGAAGTTAAGTCTTTTGATGAACAAGAACAACTCAAAGAATGAGTGTATAACTATCGTATATTATCTATTCGTTTCTTAGTAAACTTAAGCATAGCAAGACTAAATAGGTTAATCTTCATGTTGTCTTCTATACGAGTTTAAATGAGTTGTGTAGCAGTGGCGGATCTAGGATTTTGGCAAGGAGGGGCGATTTCAGCTAAAAACTATTTTTTTGGATCCAATCGATGTAGTGCAAACCTATGTTTTCGTGCATTTTTGCTGTAAAAAATCAAAAAAGTTTTCCGGCGGGGGCGGCGACTGCCCCCATCACCCCTCCTACATCCGCCACTGTTGTGAAGCATTTCTTTTTTCTACAATTAAATTCTATATATTTTCATACAAAAATAATAGTTGAGTATGGAATATTTCTGAGTGCGTATTAGACGCAGCTGGTCGACTCTGGGTATAATAAAACTTCGAGATTTATTTTGAAACGATCAATCATTTAATATTTTGATTAATAACACGTATTTATTTAAGATATCTCAAAAACTCTAATAATAAATTTCTCATTCTCATTTTTAATTAAATTTCAGAAATCATACCATCCAATATTTTCATATACCAATAACGGATATAATTCTAATGAAAACAACTGAAAAAGAACGAATGGAAAAAGTACAAATATTAATGAATAAAGTAATATAATTGTTTTCTTTTTAAACCTATAATAATTTTTTGAACTACGTAGCTTGATTTAATTTGTACAAGAAATCAACAACAAAAAAATGATTTAATTCCTCCTGATTCTTTACTTCTAACAACTGCAGCTAATTTAACTCGAGAAATAAATTCATCATGGGAGAATCAACAACAATTAATTGGAAATCAAGCATCACTTGATTATATCTCATCATGTTCAAATAGAATAAACAATAATAATACTCCAACAACAAATAATAGTGATTTAAATTCAATTTTATTACGAACAATTAATATACCAAAAATTTCATCTCAATTATATCAGTCATATATTGACGAAGAAGAACAATTGAAAGATGAATGGAATGAAATGTGTCAAATATTTAAACAAAAATTTATTGAAAAAAACGAACGTTTATCAAGAAAATTTTATCAACTATTCAAAGAACAAACAACAATCAATTATGATGATGTATATTTCATATTTTTCTTCTTTTTATAAAACAAAAAAATTTTTTTCTTGTTTTGATTTATTTAGAAACTTCAAGAACAAGTTCGAATATTTTTCGCTAATTCAAATGATAATATAGATCAATTATTAAATAAAGAAATACCAAATAGATTCATAGCATATTCACGGCAATGTTATATTGATGTAGCAACATGTTTACAAAAACGAGCATATGATACAACAAGTGATACAGTTTTAGATATGCAAAAACAATTAGTAAGATTTTTATATCTCATAGTCATTCAATAGTTTACTGTAGTTAGGCGGAAATAATAACATGTACAATTATTTTGATTATACATTTTATTACATTTTTGTCTCCTTCATGCGTCTATAAATAGAATCTGAGAAAATAATATTTTATGTTTTATTCGTATTCTATAACTAATATAATCATTTAGGAAAAGCGTATGTTCCCTTCAAATAATGCTCAACAAGGATCAATGCTAGCAGATGGACAACTACATACATCACCATCTAGTATGTCTTTACACTAAATTTATTCATTATTGTCAATAATATTTTCTTCAATATTAGCTCTTGATCGTTCTTTAAATCGTAATCGACAAATAAAAAATGCTGATTCCAATGAAAGTGTTACAGGTAAGAAACGATTTTAATATAAAAAATAAAACTTATTCGAAAATAATTAAAGATCCTTCACCAAAATCAACTCGATCTTTGGCTCGTAATATAAATGAGAAAGATAATCGTTTAACAACATCTACGCAAAATAATAAAGGTCCAACTCCTGCTTCACCTAAACCATTAGCTTCTGATTGGCGTAAATCTCTCCTAGTTAATACTAATGATCAAGAACCTATGTCATCTATAATTGATCCAATCTATGGCAATGTACATGTTTCACAGCAAATTAAAACAAAAGAATTATCAATTGAAGATGAAGGTGATCTTATTGAACATGATCTACTTGATTTAGTTGAACAAGAACAACAGAAAGAACAACAAAAAGATATACCACCTGCATTACCTGCTAAAAAACGAACTGTAACTTCAACTTCGCTTACTCCAGTACAAGATAATAATTTTGATGTTGACATTGAACCACCTGTGAAATTAGTTCATCTAGGTAATTAATAAAAAATCTTGATTTTATTTTTTTTGAATAATTTTTTATTTAGGTAAGGATCGTCCTCGTCGTAGTAATGTTCGACGACCAGTGAAACGATCAACGAATGGTATTACACATGATAATAGTTCATCTGATGGTGGTCTTTTAACCGATGATAATGATGATAATAGTATTGGAGATATACATCTTCAAGCATCAAGTGAACCCCAAATAAATCCATCTATTGATTCACAGATAACAGAATCAGCAACACCGTACGTTATAAGTTCTAGAATTAATTTTTTATTCATTTAAAACTGTCAGGCAAATTAAAACTTTCATCTTTCATAGAAAACCAAACAAAATAAAAAAGTTTGTGAAATATATGCATGAACTTGCGGTGTGACTTTATGAGAATTAAAAATTTATAATAGAATTTATTGCATGAATATTTGCTTCTATTTTCCTTGTTATTTATAATTCCATACATATTTAGAGCAATTACAAAATTTCTTAAATCAGCATTAAAACCATCGAAAACAACAAATGATGAATCAATTGTAATAACAAATAAAAATCTTCAACATATACCAATACCTCAACCTCGTCCATCAGCAATTAATTCTATGTCAAAATCAATGACTCTAGCAAATAATGATTCACCACAAATATTTAATTCAGATTCATCAAATGGATCATCCCACACAAAACCTTCGATGTCAACAAGTTTATATTCATCGTTATTACCATCAAATACTCTTGAACACAAGAATATAACCAATTCTGTAGAATCAATTTCATCATCATCAATACCACCAGTATTAGCTCGAACAGGCAAAGTAACAGGTGGTACTCGAGTACTTCCCATTCTTGATCCAAATACCGACGCACCACCAATTAAATTAAGACATTACCATGCGGAGAAAAAAGGTAAAATAAAATTCCCACACCCATCCTTGTTTCTATTCTATATTGTAGTTCCTCATGGAGTTAATTCACCCTCAATAGAAACTACTACTACAACTACTACTGCAACTACATCAGATACTGTTAATAATAGTACTGTTGACGTACCTGCTACTGCTTCTTCTCCATCAACACCTCATACTGACGATCAAAATGAACAGTATAAACGTACGTATTCTGTTTTGCTTGAATTCATTCAATATAAATCAATCAATTTCTTTTTATTTAGGGTTATCCGTGAAAGAGCGAGCACGTATGTTAACAACAACACTTCCTGTAATGACACCTGTTGATAAAAAAGTACTAACATCAACAAATACTACAACAAGTAAATAAATCTTACAAATTCTTGTTCTTTTCTTTTACAATTTAACTTCCAGATTTATAAAAAAAAAACTATTTTTCTTACATTCCCAAGTAAGATTGTGTCTCGCTAACTTGTTCTAATTCAATGCTTACATCTATTTTGTGTGCTTCTTCTCTAGCAAATAAAAAAAACATAATGTATTCAATTCTATTTTTATTCTTTTTAGTATCATCACAACCTCCGCCTTATACACCTCGTACGTATCGTCGAATAATTGAACAAGTCAATCTATTCTGTTGATGTGTGCATTCCAATATTTCTATTGCTTTTCTCTTGTCTCCATTTATATGATCGATTATGATATGCAAACGTTTTTTATTACTCTTTCTAATAATAATAATTATTGTTCAAAATAATATTACATCTTTTTTTAACAGTTTTCTCTCTCTCTATCTTTTTGCGCTTAATTGCTTGTGCTTGATTGTTATGCTTGTTTAATGGTGCTCTAAACTCTTTGGTTTGTTTTTTGTTTTAGTTCATCATGCTTGTTCTTATTTAGATACCGATATTCTTTTTCTTTTCTTATTAATGCGCACATTTAATATACTTTACAAAAGAAGCCACAATATGAAAAATGTATATCTATTCTATTCTTTATTTTTTGTCCATTTTGTTATTCCTTCTTACATATATATATATATTGTGTGTCTTTGTGTTCATTATAATAATAAGATAACGAGAAATAAAAATAAAACAAGATGAAATATGAATGTATATTTTTATGGAATGTAAATTTTGAAAAAAAATGTGTTTACTGGGATAATGTAAATATGCACGATGTCTATTTTTTTGTTCTGCTATTAGCGGGATTCTTATGTCTTTAAGCTTCTTTGTCCCTGACCTTACCCTTTCGTTTTCATAATTTTTTTACTCTAGAAAAAAAAAGAGATAAGAACCAGGCCTCTTAATATTTATCTATTACGAATGTTCGAAACCTATTATTTCGACGGCGAAAAAATGTCATTTAAAAAAAAATAATCGTTTTGTCTATTTAGATATCTGTTTACTGAGGTTGGTAGTTAAATTTCAATAAACTAACGGAATATTTTTGTTTTAAATACTATAGAAATAATTCTTAGCATACCATTAACTTCAATTAATAAACAATTTCAGTTCGAAATTTAGAACAGAATTGAAAATATTTTATAACATATCTAACGATATTCATTTTAGAAACACAATAGATTAATGTATATTTTCATACACAAGCATATAGAGAAGACCTTGCACATCCGTAGTCAATTATTCTTTAGAAACTATCATCAAAACCATCTGTCTCTCATTTTAGATTTTGTTATATCTTTTCATTTTTTTTTCGTTTTGTGTACAAATCTAATTTTTATTATTATTATTGAAAACAAGTGCAATGTCCCGAAAGAATATGATGGATTATCATAATGGATATCGATCATCTTCTCGATTTAATACATTCTTAACAATGCTCAAAGTTCTGTGTTTTATTTTATTCTATTGGTGTTGCTCAATATCATTGACATTTTTTAATCGTCAATTATTTCGTGATTATCAATTTCCACTTTCAATCACAACGTTACATATGGCAATTAAATTTATATTCGCTGCTATTATTCGATGGTTTTTACATCGATTTTGTTTTTGTTCATGTTGTACAACTATTTGCGGACAACATCAAAATAATGATAGAGAACGTATTAAATTAACGTGGCCTACTTTATGGCGAAAAGTTGCTCCGACTGGTATATTACAGTTGTTTTTGATTGTATATTGTAATAAATTTTTATATATTTAGGTATCACCGCTTCACTTGATATCAGTCTATCCAATTGGTCCTTGCAATATATAACTATTTCACTATATAGTAAGTATTAGACTTAAAATAATAAATTTATTTAGATCTAAACTATTTTTAGTTATGTGCAAATCAACTGTAATTATTTACATTCTATTATTTGGTATAATATTCGGTCTCGAACGATTTGTAAGTTGATTTCTCATTTGAAATTTTTTTTCTATGAAAATTTTTGTTTTATTTTAGCGTTGTTCTTTAATTGGAGTTGTTATTTTAATTGCCTGTGGTTTATTTCTTTTTACATATCATTATACAGAATTCCATGCATTTGGTTTTCTTCTTATTATGGTTGCTTCGTTTCTTTCGGGTTTGCGTTGGACAATTACACAATTAATAACACAAAAACATGAACTTGGTAAATTGAAAAATTCTCCTTTTTTTTTCTTTTTATTTAATGAACAAAAGCTTTGGCAACAAGACTTCCACTTGAAGATATTGTTGCCGGTCGAGGAGCTTGCGGTCCACGAAACGGTAGACCATAGAGAGCAAATGCTGTACGTGCACGACCACCATCATTTCGTCGTCGTGCAAATGGATATGATATCGAGTTGTTAGAAAAAGTATGTAATGCTCGTGGTGTTTTTGCTTTTCGTCGATGAATTATTGATGTTGGACGACGAAGAGTTCGATGTAATAATCGTTGTTGTTGTTGTTTACCTAAACGATCATGTTCTAAACCATAGAATGGATGACGATATTTTCTTGATATCGATGACGAACGTATTAAATGTTCATATGCAGCAAATGCTTTCTTTTTATCATGTTCTTTGGATATATGATAAGCACGATAGCATTGTATTGCAATCATTAGAACATTTTTTTGCCATATAAAAGATGATTGTTGGTTTACTACATCGAACTTTTGCAGCTAATAAAGTTCGATATAATAGAAGAAGACCATCATGAATAAATAAAGTCTATAAAATTTCAAAAGAAAAGTTAACAATTAAATAATTGTATATAGATTTTTACTCGAAAAAGTGGACATAAATTTTGATCTTGAAGAAAATGCATTCGTTTTTTAACTTTATTCTTTGAATTTGGATTTGATGTTGGTGTTAAACCATCTGTATCAATAAATGCCATTTGAAATAAACCAATTGTTAGAAGAGCTAAACCAATATACATCCAAAGACGTTCAATGATAACATCATGATATTGTAATGAATGTGACATAGCTAATAGATCAGCACCATTAATTATAGTTATCATTAAAATAATGCCACTTTTTTCAACACTCATATGTTCACGACTTAACAATAAACGACATATTGCTAAAACAACAAGCATAGTTTCTTGTATTGCATCAAGCCAACGTTGTTCATCCATATAATACCATGCTTTATCATGACATTCAACATGTCCTATAGTTAGAATAAGTGGAGTTGTACTTGATATTAAACGTGATATTGTAGATGCTGAATTATTAGAAATAAATTGTTGTTGTTGTCGAAGATGAACAGATGGTACAGCTGCTCGAGCATTAAGTTTATTTTCAGCAAGACGATACAATTTTCTATTTGCTGTTTCAATATGAATTATCCATAATGATGGTGTTGTACATGCCAAATAAAATATGATACAAAAAGCAATACTAAACATATAAAAATAAATTTCTATGATAAATCTATCTGATATACATACACTTTAAATTCATGTCCATTTCGAAGCCAAATAACAATGCCTGTTTCAACAAGTAAAAAGCCAAGACCTATAAGAATAATCCAACAATATTGATTATCACTTGTATCAATAACACGCCAAGAACAAACTAGTCCATGAGCTAAAAGAAACACTCGCACTAGGAGCGACTTGACGATAGTCAAACCGTGCATTCATTCGACCATCTGTTTTATTTATTCTCTGTCACAATTTCGTTTGTATTATAACAACAACAAAAAAATGAGAAAGATAAGAGAAGAAGAACAATAAGCTAGCTACTTAGTCAACAAATAATTAATGACGACTAAGCTCTTCTTTTCTCGATTCATTGTAGGTTTGAGCAATCCGGTCGATGCTATGTACTATATTCAACCGTGGATGCTTGCCGTAATCATTCCGCTTGCGGGTATCAGAGAAGGTTTGTTTTTTCTTCGTTTCTTTGTTTTGTAACTTTTTATTTTGTCTTTTTACTTAGGTCAACAATTATTATATCAATTACATTTACTTAATAGAAAAACATTTTCCCATATTGGTGTTTACATCGGACTATTTGGATCCAGTGCATTATTAGCATTTTGTCTTGAATTCAGTGAATTTCTATTAGTTTCAAATACATCTTCATTGACATTAAGTGTATCGGGTATTTTCAAGGTAGATTCCATTTTTTATTTTATTAAATCTAAATCTCATATATCTATTTGTATCATAACAATTGCAAAAAAGAATAACTATCTAAATATAATAGAAAATCTAGCCTTTGATTTACTATTTAACCTTGATAAATATCAGTTAATTATAAAAAAAACTCTTTCGAATTTCTTTTAAGGAAGTTGTTATGCTCTATTTGGCTGTTGAATATAATAAAAATGAATTAAATACAATCAATATCATTGGTCTTGTTATATGTCTAACTGGCATTATTTTTCATTGTATTCTCAAATTCTATATATTACAAAGTACAATAAAACATCTAAATTAATAATTATTTTCGTAAACATTGTTTATTTACTTATTTTATAGAAGAAAAAACATATGGATATCGATCCTGTTGTAACTGAACGATTACTTTTACGTAGGTTAGAATCAGTTGATGAATGGTCAATAGATGGTGAAACAAATATGAGACGTACACATGCCAACGACTGAATAATCACTGAAGATAAAAATATGATTTCTTTTTGATTCTATTTATTGTTATTATATTTTGTTTTTTCTCATGATAATGATCCTGATAGGAAGAAAAAAAAAAGACATCAAAATTAGTCATATAAATATGAACGGATTACATGAAAACTAATAGTTAATAATATATTCAAAATTTGAAAATATTCTTATCAAAGATTGATCATTCCATAGAACAGATCAGATGAATAAAAGAACTGTTCGAATAGCGTTGTGACATTAAACGTATAGGTTTCCATATTCCAGTTTCTGAAATCAGTTATATCTGTAACGAAATCTTGTTTAACTATAATATGAAAGAATTATTGAACATAACCTTCATTAGATGGTTTATTTTAAAGTTGCTGATGTTAATGAAAATCGTTTATTTGCTGGTTGTATAGTATAGAAATAAATACATGATTGTCCAATAACTGCCATTTTTGCTATTAATGCTGATAATGTTAATAGCATAGATGGAAGTTGATAATGAATATATTTCATAGCAAAAATGATTTGTAATATACCACATATTGCATAGGGTGTCCAAGCTAATATATAATAGAATACAGTAATCATTGTTGCTCGAGCAAATCTTCGATCAATTCGAAGACGTTTAAGACGATTACTTTCAGCAATGGTAAACATATGAAAAAATCTATGACGCATATCAATTGACATTGTTTTCGTAGTTTGAGATATTATTGGATATCGTCGATAGACAAGTTTACGTATTGCTATTAACATACGAATATGTGTATATAATAAACAAAATAATGGTAAAAAATAGATAAATATAAAAGCTAATAACATATATATATGACTTTCAATATCTATTCTTTTCCAATTAAGACCACAATCAAAACCTTGACCTTCACGCATAAAACCGGGTTTTATATTCATATATGGTGGAAATGACCAGAGCAATGATATAAACCAACATAAAAATGGTATTA